GCTAGCCACACACACACACACACACATAAATAAATTTAAAAAATAAATAAATAAATAAATAAAAATGGGCAAAGCCTTTTTTTTATTTATTTTTATTTTTTATTTTTTTTGGGGGGGGCAAAGCCTTTTAGGCACTTCAACACTATATAACCAGTAAACATGAAAAGATGCTCAACTTCACTAATGATGATATGTAAATCAAAACTACTTAATATCCACTAGGAAGCGGCTATCAAAAAATACAGAAAAGTGTTGACAAGGATATGGAGAAATTAGAACACTTACTGCACTACTGGTGATAATGTGAATGGTCCAGCTGCTCCAGAAGCAGTGCAACCATCACTCCACAAAAATTTAAAATGACTCAGCAATCTCACTTCTCAGCATATAGTCAAAAAATGTCAAAGGATCACAGGCATTTGTACATCTCTGTTCATAGCAGCTTTACTCCTAATAGCTAAAAGTAGAAGCAACTCAGATGCCTAAAGATGAAGCAGAGTGGAACAGACATACAAGGCAATACTGTGTAGCCTTAAATGGAATAGAAACTGGGCATGTTTCTAATCCCAGAGTTCTGAGAGGCTAAGGGAATAGATAGCAAAGTTCAAGACCAGCCTGAGTGATGCAAGACCCTATTTCAAAATAAACAATTAAGGGCTGAAGTTGTAGCTCAGTGGGAAGGTCCTAAATTCAAATCCCTGTATAGGAAGGGTGGGTATACCTCCATGGTAAAGCACTTGCCCAGCATGAGTGAAGTTCTGGGTTTAATTAACCAGTTTAAAAAAAAAAGTGAACTGTCAGTCCCCCAAAACAATCATAAAAATACTGCAAGTTCATTTTTTTTTTTTGCGGAACCGGGGATTGAACTCAGGCCTTTGTGCTTGCTAGTGAAGCACTTATTCCACTGAGCCATCTCCCTGGCCCCTGTAAATTCATTTATATTCAGTACTTGAGAGTAGTTAAAATCACAGACAAAAAGTGGGAGTGTAGTTCTTTAAAAGTATGTTTTAGTCCTTTATAAAGAAAAAGAACTGCACATTTAAAAATGGCTAACTATAAATACTATACAAAATTCTTCAATTAAAACTAAAAATAGGGGCTGGTGAGATGGCTCAGTGGTCTAAAGCACCTTAGAACAAGCTTAGCAAAGTACAGGGACCACGGTTCAATCCCCCAGCACCACATGCCAGCCCACCCCGCCCCCTGGTGGGCTGAGCTGGCCACACACAGACACACACACACA